ATACATTGTCTGACATCAAATTGCGCCATCAAGGATCGACACAATTCCCTCCGAATAGGTCGATCCCTTACTCCTACCAACGATCCAAAACCTATTTCTCCCAGCACATTCAACTGACCCTTCTCCTTAAGGTGTTTAATTAATAAATTCACCCTTTTAATGCTGCATCTTGTCGACACTTCCTACATTTTTTAACAATATATAATGTTATAGTTTTTATATATTTTTTATCAACGTATTTACAAGTTTAATGAATACCTTATTTTCATGTGCTTTCCTCCGTTCTTTGTATTCTTTACTATCATTCCTTGACTGTGTGATGTAAGGTTCCTTTTCAGCATCACTCATTGAATTCCATTTGGACCTCACATCTTTTGTCACCTAATATAAAACATAAACGTTCTTAATCAATACATTAACACTAAATACTACTCAATGTCAATTTCATTTTACATACCGAACCGCTCTGTGTGTCATCTTCCTTCATCCTTTTGCATTCGGCCATACTGTCAACATTTAAAATTTGTAATCAATTTAAAGTTTATCGATACTTTAATCCAATTACCATTTCAACAATAATAACAAAAAGATATTGATACTTACTAGAAGTACATATATCTACCCTTTGGTTGCTTTCGAGTCTCGGCCTCAATTTCAAAGTCATCTGCTCCACCAACAATTTTCCAACCCATTGACTCTATTTTTCCTTCATATATCAGTTTACGCAAATCAAATTATTTTGTTACATATACTTTATTCAATATACAAATATAGATAACTACTCTTGTGGTAAAACGGTTTTCTTCAAAAGAATTTGAATGGCCACACCAAAATATGTCGGCACATTTATACAACATATAATATCATTTTCTACCTATAATATTTAATAAAAGTATCGACATTTATTTTTCCTTGAATGAATCATCACTTTACCTGCTGCAATCGGTTCCAAATGCTTCTTTACTCCAAAACCCCAAACAACACTTAAAAACCATATCACGATTACTGTAATAATAAAAAATTAGGGTTTCGACAACATACTTTTCGATTCGACTGCAGCAACAAACAAACAAACTTCGCTTTAGAAACGCCTTCTGAAATGCATCAACAATTACGCTTCGATTTCAAAAACTCGTCCGTTCTATCTATTTTCAGATGATATTTAGCTTATATTTCATCGGATATGTTATTTATATTAATCGATACAAATACAAAAGTGTCGATACTTTATGTCAGGTGTCGATACTTTCGAAAGGATAATTACCTATTTCTTTGAAAGTGTCGATAATTTATTACACGTACTTACGAAAGTATCGACACTTTCAATATATCCGGTATCATTTTACCGGTTTTATCATTTTGATACCGGTTTATCATATTTTTACCTGTTATATCGTTGTGGATCGATATTTTTTTTAAAGTATCGACACATTATAGGCGCTAAAACTGTTTCTCTTTTAAATTCACAAAGTGTCGATCCTTATATAAAGTATCGACACTTTTTAATATATCCGGTAATCTTTTACCGGTTTTATCGTTTTGATACTGATTTTATCATATTTTTACCTGGTATATCATTTTGGATCGATACATTTTTAAAAGTATCGACACTTTATAGGATTTAAAACTGCTTCTCTTTTAAATTCACGAAGTGTCGATCCTTATATTAAAGTACCGACACTTTAAATGTATCCGGTAGCGCTTTACCGGTTTTTATCATTTCTATACCGGTTTTGTCATAGTTTTACTTGTTATATCGTTTTGGATCGACACATTTTTAATTTGGATCGACACGAACCGGTAGCACACTTTTTTAATATTTCTTCATGACTTAGACCTACTTTTATAAGTATGGACACTTTTATAAAAATGTATATACTTTTTTTAAAGTTATGTAATTTATGTTTCAATTTTTTTTTAATAGTGTTTCATGTTTTCCACCTATAATATTAATTTAATAATTTCATTTACACAAAAAATTATTTGATTGTTTTGATATTTTATAAAATATTATTTAGAATTTAAATTTAACAATATTAACCAAAGATAATAATAAATATATTTTCACAGTGAAATAAGTATGGACACTTTTATAAAAAGGATAGATACTTTACAATATAACAGGTAAAAATATGACAAAACCAGATTCATTATTACAAAACCGGTAAAATTTACTTGATATGTTAAAAGTATGGACACTTTTATAAAAAGGATAGATACTTACCGATAACCAAAGTTGACCGGTTACCAAATTTTTTAATAGTTTTTCATATTTTCTACCTAAAACATTATTAGTTGTCAACATAATAGGTACCGCTAAACCGAATTTATTAAATACATTTTAATATATCCGGTACTGCCGTATATTAGCCGTATATTAACCCGCCTTTTCTGAGACAATCCCGTAATAGTTAGCTATACACTGTAAAAACAGTTGATTATATATATATATATATATAGGGATGAAAATAGATTTTTAATAAAAAATATAAAAAAATTTAAAATATCTGATAATTTTAAATTTTAAAAATACGGCTGCAACAATTTAATGTTAGGCGTGTTTGTACATATTTTGGCTTCAGACAGTCCTTTTCTTGCTACCCTGGAAGACTGCAGTAAATGTTCATTCCATCATTGTACGTTTTGTATCTTTAAAATCTTATAATTTTACTCTCTAAATTTATAACTTTTAAAAAATTCGCATCCATAAAATAAAAGGTTATTTTAATCCTTGACAGTGATGTATATAAGCCATAGAAATCACATGCATGCTGTTGGATTGGTCCAGCCTGCCATCATTTTCTTATATATATCAATCTCAAGGACTGGTTTTGTTTAAAACATGTGGCTCTTCTGAATATCCAGGTGCTGTGTCTTAGAACAATTTTATATTTAAGATACCCTAAACAGACCCTTTTCGTTTACTTTAACAATATTAAATTAAAGCACGTCAGTATTCATCCATTGAAAAACCGTGGGAGCTTTAAAGTTTCCATGATTCTTCATCCCCCACATTTTTTTACTTTAATAATCCAACAGTATCCGGACATTCATGTACCAGAACTGGTTGGTTCCTTTAACAATGTCTGAAATTCTTGGCTGTCTGGTTTTGACTATGTACTGACCTAATTTATCTTTGGTTTTCCAGAGGGAAAATAATTAATAATGGAAAATTGTTCAACGCATGTAAATCCCATGGAAGGTTCCTAGCTAGTTGCTTTCTGCAAATTGCATGCATTGTTTATTTTATAAGTAAAATGGGGGCGCAGGTCATGCTCAAGTTGATACCTTGAACGAACCTTAACCCAGGGTCAAAGCTTGGTTACCTTGATTAAAGCTTAAATGCATGAACTGGAAATGTAGAAATGAAAAACTAATTCAACTCGGATTTATTTCAGTTTATTTGCCGGATTAGCGCCGTAAACGAGCCGAGTCGAGCTCGAGTCAATTTGAAAACTCTGAAATGGAGCTCGACTCGACTTGAAAACGCGTGAGCCTAAAATTTTCAAACTTGACTCAAACTCGAAATTATTAACTTAAGCTCGAAAAGAGGAAAAAGTTTTAAAATTAACTAGATTAAAGCCTCAAACTCTAACTCGAACATAAACCTTAAATACACGAAAACCTTATATTGCATTTAAAAAAAATCAACACATAAATATTTATATTATTAATAATTTATTTTTTGAAAAATAAAATATTAATATATTATATTTTTGAGCTACTCACGATCTTTTCGATTCGAGTATCAAATAGCTCGTTTCGGCTCGTTAAGAACTCGAGTCGAGCTCGAGCTCGAGTCAAGTCGAGTATTTATCGAGCTTTAACAGAGTCGTTCTCGAGTAGCTCGCGATCTGTCTCGTCTCATTTACAACCCTATGTCAAACTAATAAGCAAGATGTTTTTTAGTTAATTGCATCACATGTCCCCAAACTATAATTCTCATTTTAAATTAGTCCTTAAACTGTTGAATATTCTAATTTTATTCCCAACCATGACCTTCATTCTAAAATAATCCTTAAACTTTCGAGCATTCTTTTGAATATTCCAATTTTATCCCTAAATTCATCCAAATATGTGATTAGTTTCAACCATAGTTTAAACTAATTTTTTTCCAAACATGTAATAATATAAATTGGACTAATGATTTTATTAACAAGGGACGTGGCTAGTATCTATGTATAGTTTGAGATGAAATTGTAATGCTCAAAAAGTTTAGTGATCGATCTATAATGAAAGTTATAGTTTGAGGATGAAATTAAAATGTTCAAAAGTTTGAGGATCAATTTAGAATGATAGTTATAATTTAGTAATGAAAATGGAACATTTATAATGTTATGGACCAATTTAAATTAAGTGTCATAATTTGAGGACATGTGATGAATTTTTTTTAAAGTTTATAAAAGTTATTGGGTATATAAAACAAGGCGTTCTGGGCTTCTAGTCATTTGAAATAGAACGATGGAACGATTTTTCCCCGCATCTAGGTTTTTTATTTAACCCACTAGGTCAGCCGAGTTTTTATTTTGGAGAATACAAAAATACTACAGCAGAGTTGGAACTCATCATCTCGATATAACGAGTCTCAATAAAAATTTTTTTTTATTCAAACTCGTCACATCGATAAAATATAATTTTTTTATTAGAACTCGTAACCTCAACGTAACGAGTTCGTACCATAAAATATCTTAAATCCCAAAATAAAAATGTCTGTGCTTTATTTTGCATTTATTTTTTCAGGCTGTCTTATTGGGGCAAAAAAAACCACGATGTTATGGATGGAAGTGCCCACATTCCCAAATATGGTAACCCCTGGGCCGAAGCTGTATGAATGAACCCAATTCTCGCAAATGAAGCTGAACAACGAATAAACTCAAGGCACGAGGATCATTGATGTGGCAGAGAATTTTCCCTTTTTGAACTCCCGCCCAAACGCGGGCTTCACTAATTTCCGCGATTCGATTTTTAATCCATTTTTATACACTTTCTATTTGGCACCAAACTTTCAGTTCTAGCCAAAGCCCATCCCCCACCCCGAAACCGCTCTAAAGTAGTCTTCTAAAAAGAACTCTCTCTGTGTCTTTTCGCCTGCTTATTTCCCAAAGCAAAAGCTCTATCGCTTCAGGTAACTCGCGGCGACGACTCAGTCCCCTATTACCCTAGTTTCGACCGAAAATAGGGATTCTCATTTTTTTCCCGTTTTCTTTCCTTGCAGGATTCGCAATGAAAGGTGGTCAAACCAAGTCCGATTCGATACAAACTGGCAACAAGTGAGTTTTGTACTGTTCTATTGGATTTTCTTTTGTATTTTTCTTCGTGATGTTTTATATATCAAACGAAAGGACGCAATATCTGCTGAGTTCGTTGCGTAACGGATGTTTGTTCTCTGATTTCTTTAATAGATTGAAGAGCAAAGGCGCAGGAGCCGGAAAGCGTGCGAAGAAGGCCGCCAAGGATCCAAACAAGCCAAAGAGGCCTCCTAGTGCATTCTTCGTTTTCATGTATGTCATATACTCTCTGAAAAAACTTGTAGAGTTTTCTTTTACTGCGTCTCTGATCATTATTTTTCTTATATTATTCATTTCGTGATTGATTGATCAATTAAGGGAGGGGTTCAGGAAGCAGTACAAAGAGGATAATCCTGACAACAAATCCGTCGCTGTTGTGAGTTATCTTTGTTAACGAAAATCGCTAAAGTTTCTTTAGTTTATCTTTTCAATTTAATGACTAGAATTCGGACTTCGATTATCTTATTCGCTAAATTTTTGCATTTAGGTTGGCAAAGCTGGTGGTGCAAAGTGGAAGAACATGACAGATGCCGTGAGTATTTTTTGCCTATTTTTGTGCAAATCATATATTAGTACTAGCAGTGCTATATTCTATGTTTATGTTATTTGGTAGACATTTATTTGCCAGAAGACTTTTCTAATTATCATTTGGAATTTTAGGAGAAGGCTCCTTATGTTCAGAAGGCAGAGAAGCGCAAAACTGAGTACAACAAGAATATTCAGGCATATAACACGAAACTGGTAAATGATTGTGATAATAATGTATTTGTTTAGCATGATTCTTTGTAATTACCTTCTGTAATCAATATCATGGATTCATTGTAACGATTTTACATATGTAGGCTGGTGGTGGAGGAAACAATGATGAATCAGATAAGTCAAAGTCTGAAATAAACGACGATGACGTGCAGAGCGGAGAGGTTGGTTCTAATTCAGTACTAACTGGATCTTAAGATTAAACCCCAGTATTGTGTTTTAATTTGTTTGTTTCTTTTGTGTTATTGCAGAATGAAGACGAGGATTAAATGAGTAAACTTGCTGATTAGAACTGGTTGGGCTGATTAAGGATTTCTTTTCTTACTTAGAGATGAACAAATGACTTGGTATTGATTTTATAATATCGAGCAATGATATCTTAGATTAGGTAAGAGATGGATATAAATGGACATATTGAGCAGTAGCTTCTTCATGGATATTGTACTTAAAAGTTCTCTTAAAGATCAAAAATTAAGTTTTGTGGTTTTCTCTCTGTGTGATATTTGTTTAATGTTTTGAGCTTATCCCTTCTCAGGTGTGGTAGTTTTACGTTATATTGCATGACTCGGATTTTTTCTCGGCTTTGTTCAACTTGACCGATTGCTTTGGTGTTAAAGCCCGACTGCCTGAGCTTAAAAGCTAGATTTCTTTGAACTTTAAGTAGGCTTTAGCCAACTAGCTTCCCGTTAATTTTCTTTTTGGTTGGGAAAGACTACGTTTTTCAAGCTATAATTCTTTAATTTCTTCCGATTGGGTTTGGAATGGTACTCTATCGATCTCCGGTTTCTTATTCGTGGTTCAATTACAGAAGTGGAAAAGTTAAAGCTAAATTGTTTTGCTTGTATCTTTTTTGGATTTTGCATTGTGCATTGGCATCTGAATGAGTCAATCTAACATTATCTGATTGATTAATTTGATTTGGGTATTATAAAAGTAGGGATTCTTTCAACCTAGGTTGCTCAATTAACAAATGTTAGAATTTGAATCCTTAATTTTACTTAAGAAATTTAGTATTTTATTTCATGAATTAACTATTATTATAATATGAAATTTTATATTATATATTCAATTTACACCATAATTTTATATAAAAAAATCACTCAATGTAGTAATTTAGTTTAGAAGTCTTAAAATTAAGGCAAGGTAAATTATACATAAAATAATTGTCGATACACGGACAAGGATAAGCACTGCTCGAACTCCTGAATTACGGACCGTAGCGGACCGCATTTAGTTCGTTGGAATGTTTATGAGGGAATTGAAATCTGTGAAGGAATTGGAATTTTGTCAGGAATTGGAATCCAATTTCATATTCTGTTTGGTTGACAGAAAATTGAATTGAAATTCAATTCCATATTCTGTTTGGTTCGTAGACATGTCAGATGAATTTGATTTTAGTAATGTAAAATGACAGGATTGTTCTTTTTGTTTTTTTTGATTTTAGTTTGTTTTATAAATTACATGTAGCAATATATTATAAAAAATTAAAAAATATTAAATATTAAATATTAAATTTTAATTTTAATTTTATTGATTGATTATTCATTTCAATAAATTATAAAAATCATGCTAATAAACATTATAAGTTAAAATCATCCTAATTACGGATGGCCATGGGTCCCGTTGGGTCGGGTTTTTACTTCTCCCGACCCGACCCGAGAACAAGGGAACCTCCATCCGAGACCTGACCCGACCAAAATAAAGTTTCACCCGACCCGACCCGAATATAAGAATTAGAAACCCGACTCGAAATAAAAAATACTTTTATTCAATAAAAACAGTGACTTAATTGGAAAAAAAATTATATATAGAGGGGTATTATTGTAATTATTCCTAAATATATAAGGTAAAATTATATATTTTTTGAGTCGGGTCGAGTATTTTTCACCCTAAACCCGAACCCGACCCGACCTGAATATCACACTTTAAAAAACGACCCGACCCGACCAAAATAAAGTTTGACCCGACCAGAATATATGAATTAGAAACCCGACCCGAATCGACCTGAAATAATAAAAAATTATTTTTATTTAATAAAAACAATGATTTAATTTAAAAAAAAATATAAAGGGTATTATTATAATTATTCCTAAATATATAAGGTAAAATTATATATATATTCGGGTCGGGTCGGGTATTTTTCACCCTAAACCCGAACTCGACCCGACCTGAATATCACACTTAAAAAAACCGACCCGATCCGACCAAAATAAAGTTTCACCCGACCCGACCTGAATATATGAATTAGAAACCCGACTCGACCTGAAATAATAAAAAAATATTTTTATTCAATATATGAATAAGTTACCAAAAGATTGATGAGGGTAATATGATCAAATTTCAATTCCCTCCAACAAGAGAATTAAATTCCATTATAGAATGGATGAAATTCACTTTCCCTCATTTGATGGAAAATTGAAGTCATGAGGGATTCCAATTCATTTTGAAAACTTGAACCAAACATGGGAAAGTAGTGTAATTGAATTTAAATTCCCCATAATTCCAATGGATTCCTGCGAACCAAACGCCACCTTAAGTTCCCCCAATAACCCATGCGTGTAAATTAATTGGCTGAATAGGCCATTCAACTTTTTATTTTGGAGAACCCGACATTTTTTTATAATATCATTGGAAATCACCACCTGGAGGTGATAAGTTTCTTATGATATAATTTTTTAATGGACTCGAATGAGTGGTTCCTGCGTGAGGCATTAATTTAATATAATTAATGAGACTCATATTTTTTTTAAAAATATATAAAAAATTGAGGTGGCGAGTTCCTCCTAAAAAATGTAACAATTTATATTCATTGGTTAATGGGCAACAACAATGCTCACTTGGGCAACGATCATTATGAAACTCGTCACCTCGTCGGATTAATTTAAAAAATAATTATAAAGTAAATAATTGTATTAAAAAAATAAATTGTTTACAAAGAAAATTTATTTATATTTTTTATGTTCTTGACGATGCCGAGGAGCAAGCTCGCTTTTGAGATTTTAGTGGCTTCGGGCAAAAATATAAATTAGGCCCCTAATAATAAGTATAGAAAAATTGAATTGTAAGAACAAAAAAAAACTAAATAATTTGCTTGGAAATTGTTTTTATATTACATTTAATAAACTATCTAATAAGTACATTAATTTTTAAATAGAAAACAACAAAATTTTTATTAAACATCCAACTACTCACACAAAATAAGCATGGTTGTAAAGTGATACATGTTAGATTTTAATATTTTTCATCTTGTCAAAAAAATAATGAAAAATAATTAAGTCAAAAGTAAAAAATAATTTAAAAATGTCACATCAATTGTGCCGTTATTTTTAATGGTGGATTCTAAAAAAATATATACCGTTCAATATAATTTTGAAAAAAATAATACTTTGATGAGCAAAACAGAAATAAAATAGTAGATGGATAAATAAATAAATAATTTATAAACTTTTAATTTTATGTGAATTTACAATTTTAGACCCCAGACAAGAGGGAACCTGGGTGAGTGCCCATTTTGCCCATGCTTAAGGACGGGTATGCGGAGGAGTGGTTAAATGATAATGGCGCGGGCTCGTCGGCCTTGATCTTTTTCTTCGTCGTCTTCATCTTTATCTTGGTTTCGTTTTTCAAAAGGAGGTGTACTTAACACACTCTGAGATCTACCTTCGAAATACGGTGATAAGCTTATGGTATCTGACGCCATCATTGTTGCTACTGAATTGACTTGACTACATTGTTAACCATATATGATATGATCCCATTCACCCTCACCCGCATGTTCTATCGAAGATGCTTAAGTTTGCTGCATTGCATTCCATGAACCTCCAACCCAAGTCGGCTGAGTCTCGATTGAAGTATAATATGCATGATAGAAACCAAAACTAGCCTGAAATGCATAATAGTATTTTTCAGATGCAGATGCTGAAGCAGAAGAAGAAGAAGACAATGATTTCTTCTTGGACTTGACGAATTTGGCCTTGTGTTGTTCACATTCTCCCCTCTCTTGCGTTGTCGTGAGATATGATTTCCCATTTGCTTCATAATTTCAGAGATATGGGAGAATGGTCGAAATTGACTGATGAGATGCAAATTTTCACAACACTCTATCAACGGTGCAGAACTCAATAATCGCAAAATATAATACAAGCGTCAGGGAACACCATAAATCAAACCCATAAAAAAATCCTAGTGGTAATAACTGGTAGATCTCTTCGTCAGCATACGAAAACCAATAAAACTGTAAATATTAATTATAAAAGTTAGTATGTATAAAGTTAATCAATTTCAGAAAATAGTAAAATACTAATATTTATCGCATATCGACCGACGATGTTGATCCTTATCCGTATATCTTTTGTAGTTGCACCCGATAACTTCATCTCGGTTATTTTATGGCGCCATCTAAAAAAATAAAAATAAAAATATTAAAAATAGATAAAAAAAAATTAAATAAATATATTAAAAAATTAGTTAAAAAATGAAGTTAAAAAATTACCTTATAGCGAAAGGAAACTCAACCGGGGCTGGTGTAATTAGCATAAAAAAACTGTAACTGATACCAAGCCCAGGATTGCAGCAATATTAGACAGCTGCTACATCAACTTTTCGACCCCGCTCGACAATTGTAGTATTGCAATGCTCCTGGTACAAAAAGGATAAAATCGTCGAGCCCCAACTAGTATTACGACACTCAAGGAAGTTATTTAATATAGACATATACTAAGTGTGCGTCAAATTATCGGATTTATCCGGTAATAATACCCTTCGATTAGTTGGAGAAGATATACTCGGGATGCAAAAATAACTCGTCCTCGGTAGAGTCATTCATCACTTGAAATTCAGACTTTAACCACGTTATCCGTATCCAATAGCCGTTCATGACCTCGAATGGTTGCAGCTTTCCTAAAACTTCATAGACCAACATCATGGGGTTGTAACTAGGGCTGTAAACGAGCCGAGTCGAGCTCGAGTATTGCTGAGCTCGACTCGAACTCGAAAAGTTTAAAATTAGGCTCGACTCGACTCAAAAACTTGCGAGCTAAAACTTATCAAGCTCAACTCGAACTTGAAATATAATATTGAAACTCGACTCGAACTCGAAAAGGCTCGAACTCAAAAAATTTCCAAGAGCTCGATTGAAGCTCGAGACTCGAGCTCCATTGAAGCTCGAGACTTGAGCTCGATTGAAGCTTGATTCAAGCTTGAACTCAAACTCGAATTTGAACCTACAAAAATCTTATATTACATTTAATTTTTTTAAAATTTATAATTATCAATAATGTATTTTTAATATATTTTTAATAATGTAATTTTAAAATAATATAACATTTTTTCGAGTAGCTCGCGAGCTTTCCCGAGTCAAGTATTAAGTAGTTCGTTTCAGCTCGTTAAGAATTCGAGTCGAGTTCGAGCTTGAGTCGAGTTCATTCGATTCGAGATCGAGCTTTAACCGAGTCGATCTCGAGTATCTCGCGATCTGTCTTGTCT